TCCTTAATAGATTAAGGTATTTAGTTTGGGAGGTCCGTTTTAGAAAAGAGGCCCTTCGTATAAACAGTCCTCGCATTACGGCCTTATGGGCTCTCCATATCACTGCTGGGGACATCCCTGGTGTTTCATTCTCGGAGAAATATTGTTTGAGTGCTATATCCATGTCTGAGCTGAATTTATCGTCGTGTAAAAGGGAACAGTTGAGGCGCCATGGGTTGCAACCTCTAAAAGAGAAGTTATCCCTAAATGTAGCGAGTATTGGGGCATGATCTGACCATATGATGTCGCCAATGTGACATTTTTGAAGTAGGTTGAGAGATGGTCCTGCTATAAGTATTACATCTATTCTAGAGTGTGTTTTGTGGGGTTTAGAGTAATATGAGTACTCTCTATCCAGAGGGTGGAGCAATCTCCAGCAGTCATAGAGGTTGAATTTCATCAACAGTTGTGTTATGGCCTTGCAGGTCGGTTTGAGGGATTTCTGTCGGTTGGTGGAGGAGGGCATAGAGGTATCTAGGGTTGGGTCTAATACGTGATTTATATCTCCGCATATAATAGTGTTGCCTCTCTGTGCAGCTGCCACTTTCAGGAGGGTACTGGTCAAGAAGTTTTTCTGATTTTCATTAGGTGCGTAGAGGTTTACTATTGTATGTTGTACATCATTCAACAAACAGACAACAATCAGGTACCTGCCCTGATCATCTGAGATGGAGTGTAGTAGTTCAAAGGCTACTGAGTTATGTATATATATGGAGACTCCTCTAGATTTGGACAAGTGCGTGGCGTGGAACTGATGGGGAAAATGTTTCATTCCAAATTGTGGGATTTTGGCTTTGGGAAAGTGAGTCTCTTGGAGACACAGTATGTCTGCTTTTGATTTCCGAGCTTCTTGAAGTAGCATATGCCTTTTGTGTGGCATGTTGAGCCCTCTGACATTATGGGAATAAACTATCAGTGTATGGTATAAGGCAGAGCGCTATCGGTCAGGGCAGTGTCTTGAGAAGTGAGGTGTACTATGTGCTGTTGTTCACAAACCGAGGACCCAAGGGTTCCACTTTGTACGGCACGTTTTTGCTCGGATGTTTGGGTAGGGTAGGGAGGGTGGTATCCCAACAGGGGAGTGAAACAGGGATAGTAAGAAATAAACTTAGTTAACCAAAGTATATACATGGTGGCCCGATCTCGGTGCAAGGCGCTGCTGATCAGCGCCGTGGGGAGCGTGGGATCGGAGATGGTGGACAGGTGGTGGCCTGAGCAGGCTAACTATGTGTGGTGCCAAATGGTCTTTTAAGGAGCATCCTTAGGTCAGGTGTGGTCCTGTGTGAGCCTTAAATGAACCATATGATATGTGAAAGGCACCTTATGTAAATATAGTGAGAAACCCTTTTGGTGCTTCATTCTAGGAAGGGGGTGGGGGTCAGAAACTCGAATGGGTTTTATACCTGGGGGGGGCTTCCCTGCCGCCCGAACGTGTCTGCGGACTGGACCCATGAGTCTTCCACTTTATTACTATTGGTTTCCCTGGTTTAGGGGGTAGGTTGTTGGGTCTTGTCGGCGGGTAAATAGAGTGTGGCCAGGGGGTTACGTAAGTTCAGAAAGGTATCATGTATCAGTAAGAGATAGACTCTAAGGTCATATGCTTTGCACTGTTGCTAGTACACCCTGCAAACAATAAGAACAAACATAAAACAACATGAAGATTGGCAGTTATTTGCGTATTGCAAGTTGCATATTTCAGTCTCTAACGAGCTGACTTTAAATGTAATGGTGGCTAGGAGTTTACGTTAATCATGGGCATAATGATATTGGGTAGGTCGCCCAAGCGGGTATATTTGCGGTAAGGTTTTATCTAGCTGCTTGGGTGTAACTGCAGCCTAGGCCCATGGATGGGTTGTTTGCTGTATTACGTTTGGTGTCCCTGGTTTAAGGGGTACGTTATCGGTCTTTAGCGACCATCAAATAGTGTGTGGCCCGGGGGGTTACTCATGCTTCAAGGAGGTGGCAATTAACAGTAATATATAAACAATTAGGTCATATACTTTGCTATGTTGCTAGTACATCCTACAAACAATATGAACAAGTAAAGATGGCATAAAAAATATACATTTGTTTGCGTACTGCAAACTGCCGTGTAGCTAAGTGTATCAGCGACTTTCAGGCTCTAGTGGGCTGACCCTTGTGGTATTAATAGCCAGAAGCCAATGCTAATTGCGAGTCTGTTAGGAACATGGTGGCCGCCAAAGCGAGTATACTTGCGGTAAGGCCTCAGTCGGCGATGTGCCAGTCCTTGACCACTTGTCTCGGTGGTTTTGGAGCTTGCGTGTCGCCTATGATGGTTAGGTTCCATTGATGCAGGAGGTGTATGCCTTCTTCTGCTGTTTGTACTGCGGTGGTAGTTCCGTTTCTTGAAACGATCAGTCGGACAGGGAAGCCCCAGCGGTACAGGATACGGTTGGCGCGTAGGGTTTCTGTCACCTGTTGGAAGGTTTTCCGTTGTTTCAGGGTGGCTGCTGAAAGGTCTGAAAACATTTTGATGCTTGTGTATTCGGCCGGTAGATCTTTCACGGTTCTGCTTCTTCTCATCAGGAGATCTTTAACATGAAAGTAGTGAGCTTTCAATAACACATCCCTGGGTAAGGACGTGGCAATATGTTGAGGTTTAGGCACCCTATGCAGACGGTCTAGCAGCAACATGTCTGTGGGTATTTCTGGTGTCAGGAGCTTGAAGAAGCTGTGCACATAACTGGGTAGGTCTGCCGGGAGGACCGCCTCTGGGATACCTCTCAGCCTGATATTGCTCCTTCTAGAGCGATCCTCTAGATCCATGAGTTTTGCTTCACATTTCTGGATCTGGTCTGTGAGGGATTTTAGGTGCTCTGTGGACGCGTTGTGCGCGTCGACTAAGTCCTCCATCTTTGCTTCCACGTGTGTTGTGCGAGACCCGATATCTTGGAGGTCCCGTTTAAGTTCTGCCACGCTGGATTGCCAGGTAGCAACCAGCCTTCGTGATTGTTCGTCCAGGGCTCTCTTTAGGAAGGCAGCTGTGAGCGGTTCTCCGTCATGCAGTGAATCCGCCTCTGATCTTGGGCTGCTCCCCCCGGAGTGGTCGGCGCCATCTTGATGGCCTGCTGTGTCTGCTTGCTTTGCCAGAGCTGCCCCTTTCTTCTGAGCGAAAAAGCTCATCTTGTCGGGCTTATCTTGGTGCCGGCGGGTTTTGGTCTGCGACATCTTTGGGATATAGGTTGTTTTCTTGCAGGGTTCCCACTTAGGAAAGCTTTTGCCTTGCTCGTGTTGCGGAGCTAAGAGCTCATGCGGCCATCTCTCTCCGTGCCTAGACACGCCCCTCTAGTCTGAATATTTTAACAAGTTAGCATTTTTAACAAAGTAAGTGTAGGGGCTCAGATTAAGATTTATATTATTTTAGAAGCCATCTATAAGTGATTTTAATATTTCCATGCTTTGAATTAGGGTGTATCTGCCTAGCGGGTGAACCTCCATAACGTGGGCTGTGATTTTAGTTACAGTAGCGGGTGGGGAACCTGAGCTAGGGGGTATTTAAACGTGTCCGGATAAGGGGGAGCATACCCAATAGTTGTTGTGCAGTTCTATCCTGTATTATTATTTGAAACCCTGTATTACTTATAAGTAGCGTTTTGTAACTTATTTGTAATTGTTTATATATATTGCTCTGGGAAAGGGATAGGCAAAATCTCTGAGAGACCAGGAAATATATTTTAAAAAAAGGGCGTATTACACTAGTGGTAGGGTGGCCTATCATGACTGTAGAGACCCTTGGTGACTAGTTTTTGTTGTATATTGCCCTGGGAAGGGGATACGCTATTTAATAGAAATTCCTGAGAGACCAGGAAATATACAATAAGTGATACGTGAGTGTACTGGTTAAATTGCAGACATATTGGCCCAGAACCTTTAATCGAGCCGGAAAAGAGGCTGCTGTATGTTTGCTCCTCTATAATTTTGCGGGGGCGGTCACCCCCATGCGGAAAGCCACTGCCATCACAGGGTGGTTAGTTGTGCAGGCCCTTAGCCGCGAGGTGCAAGCATGTCCGTGGAAAGGCTAGAAATTAATAGGGAGTCACTCATAGCTGTCAGAAGTGTTGAACTTTGAGACATATTGACCTATATCCTTTCAGAGGCGGAAGAGGTGGTGTGGTTCACTCCTCTATAATTTAACCAAAGGGTGGAAAGTTATTAAACATGTTTAAGTTGGCTAGAAATTTGTTATTTTAAGAGCCGAGTAGAAAAATTAAGAAAGTTACCTTGTTGAACAAATTGTTTATAAAATGAAAAGCTGAAGGAATGTGTTTACATGTCTGTGTGTGTATATATGTATATATGCTAAGTAAAGGATTTGGCAGTATACGCTATAAGTGACAAGGAAAAGTAATCCTGATCTGTTTTCTTACCTTTTTCAGATATAGCAGAAACCAGGGGTGGACATTGGAACACAGATAGAATATCAGATGGAGACCAGTGTTTAAATGTTGACCTTTGATGAGCTATTGAATGTTTTATTTTATTGTCTATTTAACATGTCTATGCTATGATTTTGTGCATACTATTCTCTTATTTCTAGTGATTGTATTGCAATTGAAACCCTTATGTATTATTGTATGTATGTATGTATGCTTGCCTGGGAAAGGGGGGAATTGACCCATAGGGACCAGGGGGTATTTTTGTGTAAACCAAACTGGGGTGGGAGGGCTCTAACGAGGGAACCCCATTGTCCAGTAGGTGCTTGATTTGTGTCTGTGTAAAGTGCATGAGTGGTTGCAGTTCAAAAAACAAAACAAAAAAAAAATAAAAAAATAAGAGGGATAAGAGAAAGTAGGCATTTTGGGTTATCTATACATGTTTAAATAGAAGGGTGGTAAATAGGAATGTAATTGTTTTGGTTAATGTTTAGATTAAATTGGTTAAATACAGCAATGATAACGAGTGTTTAGATTAAATTGGTAAATGCAGCAGTAATAACGAGTGTTTGGGTTAAATTGGTAGATACAGCAGTGATATTGTGTTTATCTGTGAATCAGGAGTGTGCTGGATGTGAAGAGAGGTGTGTAGGTATTTATCCAAACGCCATAGGAAAAAATATGGTTAAGACACCACAATCAAATGGTACTTATGATGATTGGCACAGTTATTATTTATGTTTGTGTTCGTCATTGCCTGTGTTTTCAGTCAAGAACTTTCAAGCAAGGATATTTTAAGCAGAAGAAGAAGCACTGGACACTATGCTCAACTGTTGCTGTAAGGAGAAAAAATATTGCAGCTAAGAGTGGTGAGAGTTGGAACAAATGCATCAGGAGCAGGACACTGTTACGTCAAGGTGGTTAATGGTATAAAGAAAGAAAAAACAAAACAATGTGACCACAAACACACAAAAGTCCTTGATCACATGAACTGTTTCATTCATCCCTGTCTCCATGCGTATGTTCTATGAGACTGTCGAAGAATAGAGTATCCAGTTTCCAGGACTAATGTTTGTGAAAATTCCAGGCACACAGACCAGCCAGAGGCTACAGAAATCGAGTCGGTCTGTGCCATGATTCATAGGTGTTATGAGTTTGTGGTGTCTAATACTATATTAAGCTCCAAAACACATCCTCACATGAACACAATATCATTGGTTAATCTAATAAAACATGGTTTGAGTTGTTCATTATTATAAGGGTGGGTATGTGCCTATTTCCCAACTGGTAATGCATGTGCTCAATGGTGAACATTTATATAAGCAATAAAATGTTAATGGGTAATAATTAATGGGTAAATGGGTATCGTTCTTCAAAAGGTGGGTTTTGTTGTAGGGCAGGTAGTGTTAAAATGGGGAAGATTCACAATTTACTGGTTTTATAAATGCTTGTTTTATGACATAAGTCAAAGGGTGGTTTGTAATGGTATTTATTAATTAATGACTTTACATCATAAAGAAAGCATATTTAGTGTAATGCTTTGGGGGCACCACTAGGGGGAGTGTGTAGGAAGACATGTGCTTCTGGCAGTGACATCACAGGCCAGCCTACTTACACTGAATAAAACCAGATGGAGGAGAAAACTCTCTCTCTTTGCCTCTTTGCCTGTACCTGAAAGATGTAGTAGCAGCTCTGACTTAACCCCAGCCAAAGGGCTGGGGCCTTGTAAGTAAAATGTTGTGTAACATGTAGCAACCTTTTGTAAGTATTATGTTGTAGTTTTGTATTGTATCATAATTGTAGTAAATTGACATTCTGCTAGCATCTGTTTATTTGTTATAGTTATATTAAATATACATTTAATATTACAACGTTTTGTGTATTTTCTATCCACATATTCGACCATAATACCATGAATTATAAAAATATTAATGTTGTTCCGTATTTCTTAATTATTATGTATTAAGAGATTAATATTCATATTTAGGTCACACCACAACAAAAGCTAAACAAGAAGCATTTAACCTTTCAGATTAGTATATTATTTCTTAAATATCATCACTGACAATACATAAAACATCAGTTTAAGAAAAGACAATGGCTCAAATTCCCCTCTGCCACCTTGCCAGTGGTCCTTATGGCAACCTGTTTAATTCCCATGTTATTACGGCGATGGTCTTTTGTTTCAGAATTATATTAGATGTATCAGATTTTAAATTACATAACTGAGAAAACAGCACATGTAGTATTATGTCATAATAATATTTGTATTTCCAGTCATTGAAGCTGAACAGATGCCAGAGATTCTTAGGGGATCTGGAACATTATAATTATAAGCAGGATACATCAATTGTTAGCATTCTACCGTTTGTTGAAGAAAACAAAAATTGAAATCATGAATAATAAAAACAATAAAAAAATTAAAAAAATTCAATAGCTATGGAATATATGAGTAGTATTTTAATACCAATGTTATCTTCTCTGGATCTACATTGTGCTCTACAGTGTATTAAAAATGACAGATTCACATAATATTTTCAAAAGAAGATTGTGTTTTTTCCAAAGTCCATGGAACATACCATTTGGAGGAAAATCTATTTCCAATGTGAAGATTTATTTTGAAATATGCAGATGAATTTCAGATTTATAAGTAAAGCTTGTGTGCACTCCTCACAAAACAAGCAAATAAAAAAATCTTTTAAAAGGGTAATAATTAATTAAGCCTATGGTTGTCTAATTAGAAGACAAAAATTGTAAACTTTTGGGGTATACTCATCATAGTACTTGGGTCCAGTCACCATAACAGCTCTTACATTTTCTTTGAAAATATATACCGGGCAGGTTAATAACTATTTCAATGCACCCTATACATTTCACTTTAGCTGTTTAAGAAAATTCTAAAAGTAATAAGTACTCCCAGTAATATGTGAGACATTGTTACCTTAATATAAAGGTGGTGGTAATTTAGAATGTATAGATTTCCTACACTGGTAAAACCAAAACATTAATTCACTTACTAGTAATGTCTTGTCTGTATATCTATGACTATTCAAACTGCCCTTTTCATCTGTCTATTCCTTCTTTTACTCATTATCCCACATCTGCTAGATGTAATGCTCTCAGGAGAAAATTTGGAACACAACTGCAGATGAAATAATACATTTGATACCGTCACATTAAGAAAATATAATTTGTTTAACCCCTTTAGGATGGAGTCAATTGTACACGTTTTGATCAAAACAAAATGTAAACAAAAACTGGAATTTGAGCTATGTCTTTTTTTTTTATTTTTTTATTCTTTATTTTGTTGTGCAAGCATTTTCAAAAAATTATGTGCTGCCATTTCAGTGGTAACAGGCTTTGGTAGTATATGATTAGAGAGGTAGTTACATAGCATAGAAGTAAAAAGCACATTTTCCAACAAGGAACAACAGGAAATTTTAACAGGTAGGTTAGTCACAGTGAGGTTGGTTTAGCGTTGTGTGGTGTTTGGCTATGTAGTCTGCGTGATTCGTTGCAGTCTACTATGGGACTAGCTGGACGTGGTAGGGTATCTATGCTGGGCAGGTGTGGTGGCTTAACAGCACTACGGTGGCTTGCATCAGTGATACGTCTGGATGGTCATATGTGTTCAGGCTTCCATGCTTGTATCTGTCCTGCTATGAGTGTAGTGAGCCAGTTGCGTAGGCATTGTGTTCTTCTCTGGTGTAGCTGGGCCTTGGGCTGTGCTGTCATTGGGGATGTCTTGCCTTGTTCTGCCTCTGCATTGAGGTTGGTTACCCCTAACCATGGGGGTGGTGGGGGGAGGGCTGTGTGTTTGTGGGGCCTAAATGCTCATTCGGGCATCTTCAGTGCTGTCCAGTCCTTGTGATATTCTAGGTCATAGGGCCCCATTGCCGTGTGGTTCACGGGCCTGGGTACCGAAGTGTCTGTGGGTTAGTCAGGTCGGAAGAGAGAAATAACAATAAGTCATAATGAAAGGCATTATAAACATAAGACATTAAATTAACTTCTGTGGATTTCTCCTTCATTGGGGTGAGGACGGTGTGGGTTAATAGTCCGACTTGGTCAGAACTTGGGTTTTGCCAGTAGGTTAGTGTTCATGGGACCTAAGACCCCAGTCCAGGGCGTGAGGGGAGGCAGTCATGTTTTCTCTGTGCTCTCCGTGGCATTTCGGAGCCTGGTTCGGCAAACCAAGGGTTTTCAGGTAGTTGGAGGCTTCTTCAGGTGATTTGAGGACTTGTGTTGTCCCTGCATGGGTAACTTCCATGGAGCCCCCTGCTCCCCACCTGTAGGCTATACCTGCAGTGCGTAACTGTGTGGCTGTTGGGCCGTATGACTTGCGCCACAGCAGTGTGGCTCTAGATAGGTCCTGGTAGAAGGTAAGCTCTGAGTCTTCAAAGGGCAGTGAGGTGCGATCTTTAAGCGCCACCATGATATGGAGCTTGTCCTGTACTGTTACGCATCTTAAGATGACGTCTCGAGCTGCTGGTGATTTCAAGTGTGTGTAGGTCGGGAGCCGATAGACTCCATCTATGGCGATTTTCTTTGCAATTGCGTGAGGGAGTATGCTAGTCAGGAGGCCCCTGGCGTAGTGAGGCAGTTCTTCTGCTGTGATTGTGTTTGGGATTCCCCTAATTTTAATATGTGTTCGCCTTTGTCTGTCTTCGATGGTCGCCATTTTGAGTGCCATAGGTTTTTAGTGATGCTGTATATTTTGTACCATTTCTTCCAGTGTTGTCAGGTGTGTTTTAACCTCCACCATGTCTTGTTCTGTGGCAGTTACCTGGTCTGTGAGGAGGGCCATGTCAGCCACCCAGAGCCTGTGTATATCAGCGAGTAGAAGTTTAAGATTGCCTTTGGTGGCTGGTGAAGCGTCGTCTGGGGCTTCAGGCTGCTGTGTCAGCGCTGTCTTCATGGCCAGCGGGGTCTCTGATCTGCCCTGTTCTATGTGGGGAGTGTGGTCCGACTCCTGTTCATCTCCCGCGGGCATGGGAGCGGAACGCGGCTGCGCCGGGCGTTGCACCAACGCGCCTATATCTCTGTGGTCAGCCGCTGGTTTTTGGGACCTGCGCCCCATTGCCGGTGAGTGAGCCTGTGTTTCAATAGGTGAGGGGGGTAGTGGGTGCCCCTCTCTCTCTGTCTGTGGTCGGAACAGGAATTCCTCTAGGTCCCGGATCGCTGGCGTGAGGTAGGCCCCGGTTTTGCGTTTCCGCTTGGGGAGCTTGTGCGGTTAAAAAAACAGCATCTATCTAACAGCATCTATCTAACAGCATCCTCTTGCTTTACTGGTCCCGTCTCTGTGGGTGGTAAGGCTGGATGGGTGCCCGTTTCTGGGATTTTGCCCAGATTCAGGCATTTTAGTTGGGAGGTAGTAGAAATGGCATGTGGTGCCGTGCGATAGCAAGCTCCACCCCGAGCTATATGTCTTTTCAACCGTAATTCACCCCTTTCATTTTCAGTGCATCCACACTTATTATAGATCATTTTATTTAGGACAAACAGGGCTTTAATTTATCATGAACTATTCATATATGAAACATAATTTATTATGAATAAAATAAAAAAACACTGTGAGAAATTAAGATTTATTTAAAAAATTTGTAGTTCCGCCTGATATTTTAGCTGTAAATGTCATAATACTGTTAGCTGTTACTGCAATAAAATGCACGTATTTGTATTCAACAAAATCTCATGAGTACAACAGTACCCCCCTTTAACAGGTTTTACGGTGCTTTGGAAAGTTAGAGGGTCAAATATAGCACATTCCATTTTCCCATTTTTTTCACATTGAAATTTGCCAGATTAGAAATGTTACTTTTGAGACCGTGTGGTAGCCCAGGAATGAGAATTACCCACATGATGGCATAGCATTTGCAAAAGGAAACAACCCAAGGTATTGCAAGTAGGATAT